AAAGGAGATGCTGTGCTCAGACGTCCTTGTACCATTGGAGCCACTGATACATTATTTTTGTCTGAACAGCTCTCTCATGTGGAGATGGTTTGAACTGTGCCTGATGAGTAAAAGCTTTGTAAGCAAATGTAGGTTGTTAGTACCTTGCCTTACTGATGTGATGTTATTGTTTATAGGGCCACCAGTGTTTTGCTTGTTGTTGCACAAAGAGAAGCAGGTATATTCAGTTATGGACTTTTATAGATAGGCATTTATTATGTAAGGGCACCGAGACCAATACAGAAAACTAGGTTTCAGGAAAAGAGGTGACACTGAGGAATTCTAGCATGAAAAGAGGGCGGAATTGTTTGTATAGTTATTTCAGCACCCATTTTCTTGTGGTTATAAAGGTGTGTACAAGGCGGGGGAAAGGATAATCTAAGAGAAAGACAGAAGTAGGGCTATACACTAAAATTCTTGCCAAAATTTCTCTTTTCTTTTTTTTCTTTCTTTTCCCCTATGGAATTAGCATACATAGGAGTTTTCTTTTAATACTGTTCATTGGCCTTGTTTGCTAAAATGGCAGCCCTCCCACTTCCAAGCAAACTTAGACTGACGAATGGACGGTTGCAATTTAGTGAGACTCCCTCTGGTGTTGTGATAAGATAGATTCATTATATAGAAAAATCCGGTTAGTTGATTATAGTCAACCAGGTAAGTTCAGAAGGTCGATAAATTTCTTAAGTACCATTCCTAACGTAGTATATCAGTAAAACATGTCCAGTTTAGTTCCGTCTGTAACACCCAGAATAAATGTCTGGGACACGCATACAGTGTTATTTTGTAAGAAGTTGTGGTAGCTTATATAATTTTGGTTTATTTCTATAAATAGAAGTTTAATTTTACAATTTGAGTGAATGAAACTTGCTGCGGTTACTGAAATAGTAAAGGGCATGTTATTTTACTTGTTAACCTACTTCCAGGAAAATTAAAACCTGAATGCAGCCACCTAACAGTCAGCCTAGTATGTGGCCACTGGTTCCAGCGTATCTGTCCTTTCACCATTCGGTAACTTTCCTCCCTTGCTCTTACAGCAGCCTTAGGATTTGTTTGTGTTTGTTTCTGTAGGTTGCCTATCCTGACTGTAGCCCGGTCTTGGTCCTCTCAGAAGCTTCACTGGAAGATTTAAATAGCAGGCTTGAGAAGAAAGTTAAGATGGAGAACTTCAGGCCAAATATTTTTGTGGCAGATTGCGGTGCTTTTGAGGAGGTAAAATAACTGTCTTAAATGTAATTTTGAAGGCTTGGTTATGTTTCTTTGTAACTCAGTTTCCTTCTGTGATGGTGCCTGAAAGGATGAGGAAAGCTGCTATTCTGTGGGTATTTTACAACTGGATTCCAGAGAGATACAGCTTCTGCTCACATCAGTGCATGTGAAACATTGAGGAGGAGGCAGGTCTGTGAATGCTTATTTAACTTAGCAAGGGATAAAATACGTGTATTTAAACGACAGGCTTCCTACTGAAAGCTCATCTTGTAAGGG